TTCCTCTCTCATCATTGATGTTTCTATCTCTCTCTCCCTCTCCCTTCCTCTCTGAAATCAACAAAAACATATTAGAAGAACAAAACAAAAAAAAACAACAACAAAGAGCCAAAAAGAAGAGCTGCTCAGCCCGGCCGGTATGGCTCAATGGTTGAATGTCAGCCTATGAACCAGAAGGTCACTGGTTCGATTCCCAGTCAGGGCACATGCCCAGGTTTTGGGCTAGATCCCCAGTGAGGGGTGTGCAGCAGGCAGCCGATCAATGATTGATGTTTCTATCTCTCTCCCCCTCTCCCTTCCTCTCTGAAATCAATAAAATTATATTTTAAAAAAAACAGCCACAGAATCCCACCCATCCAGCGTTTGCTGAGGGATTTCTGGAGCGGCAACCAGAAAGGCTAAGTTGACACACAGCTGGGGGATGGTCCCTGGCGAAACTGCTCCGTAAGAGGGAGCGCTGATTCTTCTCTGTCCCTTAGGATCCATGACGCACTCAGGAATGCTCAAATCACTTTCTCAGGTTGTCACCAAAACTGCTCTGTGTACTTTAAGGTTAATGATGCAATCTGCTCAGGGCTGTGTTGGGATATTTGAGGTAGGCTCATTTATTTTTCCGGCGAGTCTAGTACTCCCTAAGAATGCCTTCTTCATATTTGAAATGAAGGCTAGGTCATTTATTCTGCCTATTGAGTGAATCGTTCCCCACCTAGAACCCAAGGACTCATTATTACTATTTATCATCATCATCATTATTCCCCTTCTGAAAGCTAAGATCAGAAAAAAAAAATCTAGCACTACTCGGGCGGTGTGGCTCAGTGAGCATTGACCTATGAACCAGGAGGTCACAGTTCAATTTCCAGTCAGGGCACATGCCTGGGTTGCTGGCTGGGTCCCCAGTAGGGGGCGTGCAGGAAGCAGCGATCAATGATTATTTCTCATCATTAATATTTCTATCTCTCTCTCCCTCTCCCTTACTCTCTGAAATCGATAAAAACGTATTAAAACACACACACACACCCCAAAACACAACTTAAAAAGAAACCCAGCAGTGATTAAGATGATTGCTGGCCTACTGCTGGGAAAAAGATGATTCTCTTCCCAGAAAGAACTGTAAGACACCTCTTGTAAGGTGTACAATAGTAAATGAATGGGATAGTTCATTCCTGGAGTTGGAGCTGGGAGTGGAGTGAAGGGAAGATGCACCAAACCTCTATCCTCCCAGACCCTCAGCTGCATTAAACAAACAGCAAACACTGCTTCCGTAGGCACAGCCGGCCACTCAGGGGCCATTGCTAATGCATTATGTACTGAGGCAGACTCCCCGTAAGTTTGAATGTCTTTGAACCAGTCCTTAGGGGCTTGAAATGTAATGTCTCTCTGGCACTCATAGTCTTGATTTTATCTTCTCAACCTCAGGAAGTGCTTGTGCAACTGCCCGATCCTTTCAGAAATCATCACTGTGCTAGATGGTCTGGGTGTGGCCTTGGAGCCACGTAATGGGTTATAAACTAGCCCGTTGATACAACGTCATAGACCACAAGAGACAGGAACAACAATTTTTTCATGATCTCCGTTTTAAGGAGATAACATTGCATTCTGCCAACATAATTTTTTTAAAAATTTGGATACATTTTGCTCCTAAAATCTTTTTTTTTAAATTAATTTATTTTTTTAAATTAAATCTTTATTGTTCAGATTATTACATTTGTTCCTCTTTTTCCCCCCCATAACTCCCCTCCTCCCAGTTCCTGCC